TATTTCTCTCTTGCTGCAGGATGGCATAGTCCTCGGAGCAGATACGAGAGCAACTGAAGGCATGGTTGTTGCTGACAAGAATTGTTCGAAAATACACTTCATTTCTCCGAATATCTAGTAAGTATTAAAATTGTTTATTGCCTAATGGTATTGGTAGCAGTATTGGGATTTTGAGCCGTGTCCTTTGGTAACAGCAAATATTAAGGTGCACTTCAAAATGGCAATTTATTTGCAAGACTCGGGGCTTTTTGGTATTTCATTTACACTTAAATAGGCTATCTTTTATAATACTGACTGTATGAGATCTTTATTTCCTCAATTTTACGATGAGAAACTTTTATGTGTTGGATAAAGCAGAGAGTTATTTGTTTCCCTTGTCTTCCCCACCTGTTCCTAACTTACTCGTAATTTTTTTTCAGTTGCTGTGGTGCTGGAACAGCTGCAGATACTGATATGACAACTCAGCTGATTTCTTCCAATCTGGAGCTCCATTCACTATCTACTGGACGACTTCCAAGAGTTGTCACAGCTAATCGAATGCTAAAGCAAATGCTTTTCAGGTAGCCAAATGGGTTTCTTGTTTGTTAATGATGCTGTTAAAAAATACTAGATATGCTTAAGCTCCTGGGAAGGAACATAACAGGACTTTAGGAAAGATTTAATAGTTGCTTTTTGCTTCATAGGCTTTTGAACTGAGATGGAAGAGAAATCAGGTTTATGATGTTTTAGAGAATTGGTGCTATAATTGCCGGTGTTTACACTGCAAAAATAGAAGTCCAGTAGTTTATTGAACTGTTGATCACACCTATGAATACTGATGTGTATCTTCAGCAAGATGGCTGGGCCAGTAATAATGTTGTAATGTGCAAGCTTGTAAAATTGAGTCTTGCATATGACTTGTAATAGAATCACTACCTCAAAATGTATTTTGTTTTCAAAACAATAAAGTATTCAATCATTTGTAGCCCACAGCGGTTAATATAACACTCTGCTGGTGGTATAGTGAGGTAAATTAGTAAAATGGTTGAGAGTTGTACTGCAGTTCTTAACATTTTATTTGATTGCTTGACTCATCACAGACTGTTATTGTACGGCAGTTGAACTTCCTAACAAGCAGCATGACATAGAACATGCCCTTAGAGTGAGGGCATACACTCCAAACTTTTAAGTATTCCAGTACTGTTTAGTACTGTCCCTTGCAGAAGTAAAGAATGCTGTTGAGAAGGAAAGAATGAAATGAGTGTATTCAGTTAAAGATACTGTTCAAGCTATTGGAAAGTCTCCAGGAAGGTGAAATAAAGCAATGAAAAGAAAATGCTTTGTGCAACCAAGTGGCCTAGATAAATTACAGTAATTCAGCTTAGTCGCTCAATGCTGTATTGATGGGCAGTTTGCCTTTTAAGTGTGTCACAAAACAATAAATTAAAAAGTTAAAGCAGCCGAGAACATCTCATGGGGGAAATGAAGGAATACATTTTCTTTGAAGTCTCTAAATAAAAACATAATTGCAAATACAGGAATTCCATTTAAGGCTTGAAAACGAATTCAAATTCTCTCCCTGTTAGCACAAATGCATCATGCAGCCTGCTTGCTTGTTCTGCTTGATGCTGAAATACACCACGTTTTAGTAAATTTCTTAACTGAAACTGTTGGTTGCAGAAAGTAGTCTTTTACAGTGTGATCATGGAAAAATTCTCAAATGCATCCATTGTGTTAAAAAGAACCACAGCTTTATTGTGGACTTTCAGATTCACATATAAACGTTGCTCCTAGGTACCAAGGCTACATTGGTGCTGCCCTGGTTTTAGGGGGAGTAGATGTCACGGGACCTCACCTTTACAGCATATATCCCCACGGATCAACTGACAAACTGCCTTACGTTACCATGGGTAAGTGATGCTCCCTCAGTATTGTAACACAACTTCCTGGTAAAAAGTGTGAACGTTTCAAATTATTTAAAATGTTTTTACTTAAATTCCAATGTTTGCTGGGAGCTGTACAGACCTCAGACTTCAAAGATAAAGTTGTACCTGTATTTGTAAGGCAGGTGCGCTGTTCCGTTTTGTTTCTAACGCTTGAAAAACATGGGCTGTTATACTACCTAATCTAAGCTGCCAAAACCTGGTATCAGGAAAGTTGCTGTTCCCCAGCATACCTTGAAGCAAGACAGCTGTGGGATTCCCAAAAACTTTCTGTAAATAAAATCCTTAGAAACTTGATTTGTAGATAGTCCTAACTCATGGTCCATATAAAGTCTCACTTGGGGAATTCTGTTCTGCCTGAAGTTTTTCTGCACTATATTAGGAAAAAAATGTGCCTTGCTTCTCCTTTGGGACTGTTGTATTTCTGTAGTTTTTGCTAAGTAGGAGCTGTATTTTACTCAAGAAGGTGCTTTGTTGTAGTGAAGCAACAGCTGGTTTATTTGCTACTGCAATAATTGGTCTTAACTGCTATGTGGGATTTGTCAAAGAAATTTAATTTTGTCTATTATTGGGATCAACTTGACACTAGTAGCGTACCATCAGGTTATTAAGCGTTAGTACCCTGACTCTTCTGTCTGTAACGTTGTCTGTAATAACAAGAATTTGAGCTATATGTATGTGCAATTCTGTGTACATCTCGTTTGGTTTCGAATTAGGGAGCGTGATAATGCTGAAAGATGAAACCACAGATTTTTGCATGCTCTTCTGGCATTGAGGTACTCCTCCGTCAAGACCAGCTACAAAAGCAGTGTTCGGGATATATTGTAAAATACAGTCTTAGTAAATATATTCTTATTTGCTGTTTTTTCAACTATAAACAAGAATATGGGATAACTTGGAAATAAGCACTTTGTGGTAGCAGAATGCAAATCATAGGCAGCTTTTCTGGAGTGTCTTGTCTTTCTCTCTTTAAAAGCAGAAACATTGCTCCATTACTTCCCAGTTCTACAGAAGAAGAATACCTACAGGAGAGAATTAAACTTTTGAACTCTTCAGTGCTGCTTTGCAGTGGCAATAATTTCAAGCTGTGAAATGGCTCTTGAGCATATACCCATTTACCTGTGATCTTGCTAAACAACCCAATTAGAGGCCTCTTACGAGTATATTCAGGAAGACACTGTATTACAGAATAGGAAATCTTCATTCATCTAATCTTGATTTGTAAATTTAACTTGTCATTCCTTCTGTATCTTCTAACTATTCTTTGTCCATGTCCTCTAGAAAAAATTGTTTCTTTAGACACCTTGTTCTGTTCCTTAATTATGGAGGGATGCTTGGAAGGGTCCCTGTGGTAAGAATCCTGAAATAATAAGCTTTGCGGCTTGCAGATGAGCCTTAGTGATTGCCATCATACTTCTATTTTTTTGAGAAGGGAAGTAACACATGCATTGTTGAAGGGATGGACATGCACATCTCGAAATATTACAAAAGTTGCCCAGTCTTTGACAAAGGGAGTATTTTCAATACTAGTGTTGAGTTTGTTTGGTTACTTCTGAATTCTTTTGTGATTTATAGGCAATAATCTGGGAGTAAAGGGTAAAAAATGGTAAGAGATGTCACTGAGGCACTGGTAAGAGATTAAAGTAGTGCCCTCTAAGCTAATAATATTCTCGTACAGTTTCATCTGGCTCTTAAGATTAACGTCCTACTGAGAATATCTTGTATCTGGAAAAAGCAAAATTCCAAACGTAATCAGGGTTGCAATTATTTTTGCCATCTGATCACTCAAGAAGACACTGTATCAGGTTGGCATTTCATTTTGAAGACTTGGGACGATTTTAAATGAAGGTTTGGTTTTGGTAGAGCTATAGAAGTGTAATGTAGAGTCCAAATAAATATATCAGAAAAGAAAATTGATCTGAAAATGAAGTGTCAGAGATTAGTAAATCAGATTCAGCCTACGCCTGGTGCAGCTTTGATGCCGACTGTGATGGGAATGTATAACTTTAATTTTAGTTAATCTTTTTCTGTTCGTGGTTGGCATCTCTAGATAAAACACCTACTTCCTATATTCTTGGAAATGTGTAAGTTTTTTCTTTTTCTTCTGGATCTTTGCACTACTGAAACAGTGCAGCTGTTAAACTGAACCATCTGGTTAACGAGAACTGTGATTAACTTGCAGAAATTCTGCAGAGCTGGTATTGGACCAATAGATGGTGCCATTACCTTAGGAACTGGCAAATTACTTGGCAAATAGCATCCATGGAATGGTCATGTGATGTCATTTTTTAGCCTTCGATATAAAAAACCTAAATGTCTGATTCTTATAATTGCCTTACACCTGATACTGTACCCACAGTTAACTGTGGAACTGTAACTGTCTCTGTACTGATAGCTGCTGGTGGTTGATTGCCCAAAGAAAGTCACACTGTTTCAGTTATGTATGTGTTTACTTCTGTGCCGATGTTTTAAAAGCTTTAAAATGTGGCATTTCTGAAAATCCTGGCCA